TATATTTCTTTATATATGTTTAATTAATATATATCGTATACATAATTATAAATACATTTTAATAGTATAATTTATAATATATAATGTATATAATAAAATAATATAAAACATTACATAATAATATATTTCCAATATGCATTGGAGCAAACATATCTTCCACTGTTTTGAAAAAAATTCTTTGTGATAACGGTAAATTAAAATTGTTAATATATTTTGCTATTAATACACATTCACTCGATTATGCCATCAGTACGTAAGTATATCTACAATTTTTAGATCTCGCAATATTTTTCTCTAAATATTCAAGACGTTATCCAAATAAAGTCTACCTCTGCGTGAGTTTTTGAAATAATAAACGAAAATTGGAAACTTGCATAGCAATATCGTACCGCGGGTCGCGCTCGTTTATTTTTTCTTAAAAAAAAAACACACACAAAAATGCCACCAACTTTAAACCTAACACATGCACGGTGTAATAGAGAGGGACTTTTCTCTCTGCCTGGTGGAAAAGTTTTTTCATCGGCACCGTGGTCTCCGGAGAAAAAACGCTAACACAGAATTTCAACGAAGCAGGCTTAACCGTGTTTATTCAAACTTCGTCGGTCAACCCTCGTGAAGTAAAAACTCCGTTAATGAACTTTCCCATTGAAGCATCTGGTAGTGCCGCGCGAATTTCTCGCTCGCATATCGCGATGAAAATTTGATCGTTCTCTCTGCCGACGGAAAATTCCGAGTGCTACCGAAAAATACAGCCAGAAGCTTATTACAAATTAACGAGATTTATATTGCGGCTCGTACATTACACTGAAACAATGAAATTCGGCGAACGCGTACGCTTGCGCAATATTTTATCACGTGGGTTTGGAATGCAAGAATGCAAGGTCTAACAGCGTCCTTATTTTCTTTTTACAATAATTAGTCTTCTAAGTGACAAGAAAGCCATTTCTCTAACTCTAATTTTCGTAAAGAGATGATTTCGTAACAATTCGATGATTTCGATGACAATTTTGTAACAAAGAAATACAAGATATCCCAAAATTATGGTATTCCCAGGAAATGAGGGGTTCCTGAGGTGATTTGAAGTAACTTTTTCCTCAGCGAAAATGCAATCCGCGGCTTCGTTTACGAGTTATTAACGAAAAACAGTGACCAATGATGGGCGAGAGCACGCCTGGCGCTAGGCGGCCGAGCCAATCAGCGGAACTGGGCTACGCGCGCTCGCTGGCTAGGCCAGCTTGCGCCAGCCGAGCTCTCGCCTCTCATTGTTCAGTGTTTTTCGTTAATAATTCGTTAACGATGCCTCGGAGACAATTTGTGTAAAGGAAAAAGTTGCTTCGAATGACCCAAGGAACCTCTAATTTCCCAGAAATACCATAATTTCCCCTGTATAAAAAACGTTGCGCGCGAGTTAAACGAACGCACTCCTTTATCAGGAGTTTATCCTTTTTCTATTTCGGCCGGAATTTCCCGGGGAAAGAAATGTTCATCTTTAGAGAGTACATCTTCGAGTTTATCGGTGGCCCGGCTTCAGCGTGAACGCGGCTGGATCTATAAATCCTGCGAGTATTCGGCAGGCTTCGCTTGGAAATAGACGGTCGGCTCGCGAATTATATATGAGCCGGTAGTGGTACGATTTCGGTCGTTCTAAATGGAGAAAAGAACGAGTACACGATGGAATCCAGTAGGAAGCGAGGAGTCAATAAGTAATGAACGAGGAATTTCTGGCTCGGTTGTAGCCGTGATGCCATTGGAGGATATTCGTGCGATAGTATTGTACTGCAGTCTGACACAGGTAAAAGGTTGGGTCAGCACAACGAGTACAACCGAGTCGGTGAGTACTCCATTTAAACGATCCCGGCTCCGTATAACGCACAAGGCGGCTCCAAAATAACCAGATAGCATGTTCCATGTTTTATTTCGAGCTGCCAATTCTGCCCGAATTCTGTGCATTTTAAAAAACGCTCCGGAAACTGTGCTTTATTCACTTTTAATTCAGTAAGTGCTGAAAGAAATTTGTAAGATCGATCGACCAGGTTCGCTCGTAGTAAAAATAAGTGACACCGATTAATACTATCGCAGATATTTACGCGAAAATGTTCTGCATCCGTTCTAAATGACGGGATTAAAAAAATTATTGCAACTGTTAGCTATTTTGATATATTAACAATTCGATAGCAATCGTCTTGTATTTATTTTCACGCGTTCATCGTCCTATATTTTACATAATCTCGTTTATTATACATAGATTCCTGGTTTCGATATTAAATTCAATTAATTAGTTGCTCAAGGAAGAATTCTTCGTTTCACGCTGAAACATAATTTTTGACAATGTTTATGATATTAAAAAATACGCGTTGTTTGGAAGAGTTTTTTATGGAATTGTTTTATCCAAAATAAATTTATATAATTATCGAATAAAAAGATTTGAGTAAAAAGAAAAGAAAAGCGATTGTACGTGTTCATTGAACATCGCGTAGAAATCGCAACGAACGAAAAATTTGTTGAAACTTTAACCCGACAATTTGCATGCTCGAGGTCGCTTTTTTCCAGCGCGGTTCGATTTTCCGTCCGCGACGTCGCGCGACGTTTAGTAATAATCAGAAAGCGGAGCCGCGATGCACAGAGAAACAATTTCAGAGTGTCTCTGACAAGCGGTAATTGGACTGTCGACAGTGGTACGTGACAGAATTCCGGGCTTTTCACCGCGGCAGCTTGCAGCCCGATTTTAAATAATCCAAACATTCCTATTCGACGACGGAAATTTTATTGCGGGACCCTGATTTTCCGTTACGGCACACTTCCATCTTAACAATTCCAGAAAACCTCGTGGAACATTCTATCCGCGCCCGAAGTCAAACGAGGACATGCTCTCTCTCTCTCTCTCTCTCTCTCTCTCTGGCCATGGAATTAATCGATACTCTAAAAAAAAACAAGTCGAAGATAGAGCACAGAACGAAGAAATTAAGTTTTGCAATTGTTCGGAGTATTTTTTTAAACGACGTACTTGCATGCATTAGAAAGAACAGAGTTAAAACGTTGACGTATAAATCTCATTTCAAAATCATTTTCATAGTAATTTTTAGGATTGAAGTCTACAATTTCACAAAACTTTGTAAAACACTTTGTAAAACAGAAATATATTGGTACATTCTTTTTATCTTGTCTTTTACCTTTTATTATTTTATCTTTAATCTCTTTTATCCGTTCTATCTTTCATCCCATCATTCTTGCCTTTTATTCCAAATATTTCAAATATTGCACGTCACGAAAATTATTATAATGCAATTGTTGACCACAATCACTATCGTTAATGTAATAACTGGACTACGGATTTGATGCATTGCCGAGGAAAATGAGCAGTTTAGATGCAAAACAATTTAAAGAGAATTTAAGCGACATTTAAAGAATTTACGAATACTCTCATATTCCTACTAACTCCTTAAAATTATTAACAAGAAAAATGAATGTGTACGCGACTTATCTATCTTGCAATTGATGCACTTCGAAACCAATAAACCAATAAACCCAAACTTTTTAATTATTATCCAAAAGGTATCCAATTAAACGATGCGAAGCTAACAAACCTGCATGAAACGTTAAGCCAGAATAATAATCGATTAACACTTCCACGACCGCGCTGGAGACCTCACAAATTTTCATAAAATTAAAATATTTCATTCTATTGAACAAAAATTACTAAGCAAACATATATGGCATCAATCACTTCTTCAGCATTCGTGCCTCATGCAAATCTTAATAAAATTAAGCAATCAGTTTTAATGTTTCATTAATCATCCATTCGGTCGTCGATCGACCGAATTTAAAACGGGGAGATCTCCTCATTCGGTTGACTAAGTGTTAAAATAACAATCGACTTTCCCCATAAAATCACGATCATGAGCGACAT